AAAAAATCAATAAAATATATATATAAAAAAATAATAATAAATAATATAAACCAAAGTTTTCATGATCTTAACAAATCCTCACACCAATGGTAATACCGGAATTGTTTGCATCATTTAAAATTTTATGAATCTACCGTGTTTCCCCGAAAATAAGACATTCTCCGAAAATAAGACCTACTTACAGGTTTCCTTCTGAGTGAAATATAGGCATCCCCCCAAAAATAAGATTCCCCCCCAGGCTCTGTCTCAGAAACTTTGTGAAACCAAAACTGCAAGAAGTTGTGACTTGGGTGAAGAATTCATGGGAGAAAAATCACTGACAGTTGCACTGCAAATGCACTGCGAGCAGGCTACCTTGACAAGAAGTACTCATTCAAAGACAGTGCTATTGCTAAATTGATTCTGAAAGAAATGGGGTCACAAGAAATTCACCAGGAAATTCAGGAATTGGATTGTTATGATGATGTTCCAGAAGATGATGACATGATTGTCATTGAATAAATGAGTAAATTCTTGATACTGTAGGATTCACAGTTTGTCTGGTTTGTGTTGACAACTACCATACTACCATACTGTATACAGGTAATAAATTTCCTTTATTTTCATTTAACAATAAATGTGTACCATATTCTTCTTCATGGAAAAATAAGACATCCCCTGTAAATAAGACCTAGCGCATCTTTGGGAGCAAAAATTAATATAAGACACTGTCTTATTTTCGGGGAAACAGGGTAAATTGCTAAGAAATTAAGAGAGATCTAGAATCCCAGAAAAGATCATTTATAAGCGTAAGTTTACAAAATAAATGGGCTCTTAAAAAGTTGCATTAAGGCCTGGCTGGTGTGACTCTATTGGTCACATGTCCTCCTATGCACTAAAAAGTTGCCAGTTCGGTTGGCGCATGCACCATTTCGATTTTGAGCTCAATCTCCGGTAGGGGGCATGCAAGTGGCAGCTGATAAATGTTTCTCACATCAATGTTTCTTTCTCTTTCCCTCTCTCTAAATAATCAATAAAAATACATTTTTAAAAAGTTACATGTAAATGCCATTTTAGTAAATTGTCATGCTGTCCTGGTCAGTGTGGCTCAGTTGGCTAGGCATTCTCCCATGCACCAAACGGTTGCTGGTTTGATTCCCAGTCAGGCACATGCCTGGGTTTTGAGCTCAATCCCTGGAAGGAGGCATTCGATAGGCTCTCACATCAATGTTTTTCTCTCTCCTTCTCCCTTCCTCTCTCTATAAAAAAATAAAAGAAAAAAATATCCTCAGGTGAGGATTAAATAAGTTCTTATGTTAAAGGAACTAAACAGTTTGGGAAAGTAACAGTTATAAACACCCCCTTCCCTTTTTATTAATTACGTAGCACTGTGGCCACTTCCATCACTTTCCTCCAACAAAGTTTCTCATGAATTTTTATGGACTGAACTGTATCTCCTCAAAATTTACATGTTAGAACCTTAATTTAATCCCCAATGTCTGTATTTGAAAATAAGGTCTTTAAGGAGATAAGAGAAATGCCAATCAAAACCACAATTAGACAACACTTCACACTTACCAGCACGGTTAAAATCAATCAATTTTTAATAACACATAGTTAAGTGTTGGTGAGGAGAGATAAGTTGAAATTCTCATACATTTCTAGTAAAAATTTTAAACGGTACAGCTGCTTTGAAAAAGACTGGCAGTTTCTCAAAAAGTTAAATATAGAATTATCATATAACCCAGTAATTCCAGGCTAGATACATACTCAAAAGAAATGAAACCCCACTGTCTACCCAAAAACCTGTACCTAAATGTTCACAGCAACATTATTCAAAGTAGCTAAAAGATAGAAACAAACAAAATATCATAAACTTTTAAGCAGTTAAACAAATGTGGTGTTATCCATACATATAATGAAATATTATTCAGGCATAAAAAGAAACAGTTATCACCCAACCGGATATCAAACCCACACCTTTGGGTACAGGACAATGCTCCAACCACCGAGCACCAGGCCAGGGCAAAAGAAACAAAGCTCTGATACATGCTACAACACAAATAAACCCTGAAAACACGCTAACTAAAAGAAGCCAGGCACAAAGGGCCACATATTATATGATTTTTATTTATATGAAACGTCAGAATAGGCAAAGCCATAGAGCCCAAAATAAATTAGTGGTTGCTAAGGACTCAGGGAAGAAAGCAGTAGTAATTGCTAATGGCTACGGATTTTCTTTTTGGAGTGATGAAAATATTCTGGCTTAGATACTGATGATTGTGCAACCTTATGAATATACAAAAACACACCCACTGAATTGTATACTTTCAAAAAGCAAATTTTGTTATATGAGTATTATCTCAATTCAAAAAGTATTTAGCCATAACTGTTGGTTATGACTGAAAAACTGAAGGGGTTTAGAATTTATAATAAAATCACCTCATTCCATTTCTCAGATTTCACAAAAAAAAAACAAAAAACTAAGACATAAGGGGCAAAGCAGAGCTGGAATTATTATACAAGATATTTCTATCTCATTTCTAAGAAACAAACCCACTTTAATGAACAGATCTATTTACAAAGGACTATACTCTTTAAATATGTTAAAATCTGTGTCCTGAATTTCTACCACCTCTTTCATAGCTCCAGGACCCTGATTGTTAATCATTAATAAATATTTTGTTAAAGGTAAAAGAACAACTTCGCAGGTATTTAAAAAGCAATTTAGCTCTGGCCAGAGAGGCTCTGGTTGGGCGGCGTCCTGTGCATCAAAAGGTTTCTATCTAGTTCGATTCCCAAAGTACGTGCCTAAGTGGTAGGCTTAATCCCCAGTAGGGGATGTGCAAAAGGCAGTTGATCCATGTTTCTCTCTCTTCTCTCTTCCTTTCCCCCTCTCTAAAAATAAATATATATTTTTTAAAGAAAGGGGGGAAAGCACTTTAAATAGCTAAAAATTTGCTCTAGTGTCATTCAGTTTAACATATTTCATATATATATTAACTGTTCTAATTTTGTTTATTTATTTATTTATTTATTTATTTATTTATTTAGTATTTATTGGTTAACCTTAACCTGAGGATATTTTCCCATTGATTTTTAGAGAGATTGGAAGGGAAGGGGAGAGATAGAAAGAGAGAAATATCAATGTGAGAGAGGCACATCAATTGGTTGCCTCAGCCAGGGGTATGTGCCCTTGACCAGAATCGAACCTGGGACCCTTCATTCCATAGGCCATAACGCTATCCACTGAGTCAAAGTGGGTAGGGCTATTTTTAATGATTTTAGAGAGAGAGAGGAAAGAAGAGGGATAGAGAGATAGAAATGTCTACAAGAGACGTCAATTGGCTGCCTATTGGACGCCAAGTACTGGAGACAGAGCCTACAACCTGGGCATGTGGCCTGACTGAGAAATGAACTGGGACCTCTTGGTTCATGGGTAAACGTTCAACTGGATATTCTGACCAGGCAATATATATGTATACACACACACACACACACACACCCCTCACCAAGGATATGTTTTTATTGAGTTTAGAAAGAAAGAGGGGAGTGGAGAGAAAGGGAGAGAAACATTGATCCATTGCCTCCCTTAAGTGCCCAGACTGGGGATCAAACATGCATCCTTTCTGGTTGACACTCCAACCAATTAAGCCACCTGACCATGGCAATATAGTTCAGATATTTAATTAAACATTAATTAATTAAAGCTTTTAGAAAATCCCGTAGCATTGAAGTTCTGAAATGCTGAGCCAACTTTGCAATGCTTCAAACTTGTGCAAAATTATTGAAATATATTTCATATTGAGTTTTTCAAAAGTTAAGCCACTCTACCATTGAGAGCTTGGGGTGTATATTTCCTCTCACAGAACTAGGGAGAATTATGGCTACTTCAACCAACAGAGTACGGTGCAAGTGAACTTTCCAAATTCCTGACCCAAAGAATCAGTGAGCTGACTAAAATGATTATTGTTTTATGTCACTTAATTTGGAGTGGTTTATTATACAGCAAAGATAATTGGAACAGCACATGTGATTATTATAATAAAAGCAAGCAACTCTTGTTTCCCCTTTTCATAGTACTGTATAATAACATACATTCCTCCAACAAAAAAAGAAACAGATATAAAAACACATATATCTATGTAAATATACATTTATATATTAAAGAAGACAAGAAAATGACATGGTTTTACAATCATCTAAAAACATAATCTAGCTTGGCTGGTATTGCTCAGTGGTTGAGTGTCAACCTATGAACCAGAAGGTGGTGGTTTGATTCCTGGTCAGAGCATAAGCTGGGTTGCATGCTTCACCTCCAGTATGGGAAGTGCAGGAGGCAGCTGACCAATGATTCTCTCTCATCATTTGATGTTTCTCTCTCTCTCTCTCTCTCTCTCTCTTTTCCTCTCTGAAATCAATACAAACATATTTAATAAATAAATGAATAAACAAATAAAAATACAACCTAATATTCTGCTATGTCATAGATTCAAAATACCCCCAGGGGACATCATGAAGGTAGATACATGCATCAGCTTAGGCTTCCAAAATGGTATGGTTCTTAAAGTTTAGGTGCAATTCCAGGTAATTTTCCCTCTATGGTCTTGCCTTAAATAGGATTTATCCTAAAACAACTGTTTTCTGATTACCTAGGTTGTTCTCATTAAGGATAGGTTTGGCCTTGTTGGTAACTTTTTTGATTGTCTTGGACCTTACGTGTAACTTCTTGATTTGATCAGGATGATTTTAAGGATTAAATGAGAAGACATAAAAAGTCCTAAGCAGTGTATTAGGTACAAAAGAGATACAATATCTCTGAAAGTTAGCTTTAGAACTCAAGGCTATTGCTTCATAGCTGCAAAAGAGAATAATCACATTCTGATAGTAATCTGAATTTCTAAGTAATATTTTACAATTTTTGGTAGACTATTTTAAAACTTGAACTTAATATGAAACATAACAAACTCATGGTAGGTACAGTAGTATTTTAATAGAGAAGGCAATTTCTAAATATTTACCTTGATCAAATATTTTTCCCATCTGTCTGCTGTAACGGATTTGCCAATCTTCCTCATCAACTTCAAATGAAGCTCCACCAATTCTTTTGGTACTTAAAATGAAGAAAAAATACTGTTAGCAAACAAAATTTTCTTAAAAATTGTAAACATTTAAATTATAGAAAAAGAACATTCCCCAAGACTGAATAATTTTTTTAAAAAGATGCGAATTTAAACTATCTCTTAGATCTCCGAGTCAGAAAAGAGTAAACTAGGGCAAGAAACTGAAAATTACTTCCTTAAAGATGAGTAGGTATATTCACATTTTCTTCCAAAATATCATCAAGTAATAGTAAACTATAATAAAATGTCAACTGTGGACTTGTGGGTGATCATGATGTTGTCAGTGTAGGTTCATTGATTGTAACACGTGGTGCAGGATATAGACAGTGGGGGAAGAGAACACCTGGGAACTCTCTGTACTTTATGTTCAATTTTTCTGTGCATCTAAAACTGCTCTAAAAAATAAAGACCATAAAAAATACCCCATCAAATAAAAATACTTAATATACTATTAAATTTCTATTGTCTTTCATAGCACATATTTGGTTTCTTTTCTGAGACTGCAGACCAACATAGATTCATAGAATTACCATAGAAAGAAATCAAGGAACATATATTCCAAGTTGACAAATATCTCAGAAGTAATCTAACAGTTTTCAAACTGTTTCAGAAACTACTCTTCCAATCTAACCCTTATCTATTGTGCTAAACTCCTCTATTGCATCCTAACAGATAAATGCTTGATAACCTTCAGTAAGAGAAAATTACTTTCCCTCCAAGGTTCTAATTATTAGAAAAGTGACCCTTACACAAAATCAAAATCTGCCTTCCTCCCTGGTTCTTGTTCTTTTTCTCTTATACTTTCAACTCCCCTTATATTGGAACCTTTAAATATTTGAAGATTGTTTTATCTTTCTCCAGATTCTCTCTTCTAACTGTAACAACTGGAGTCCCTCCAAATATCCCTTGGCCATGATCAAATTATATTGTTTAATTAGATTAATTAGATCTGAGGAAAATGAAGAACACACACATCCAGTCAAGTTTAGCATTTCCCAAATACCAAAACATTAGTAACCTAAGAGAAATCAGAGTATACTATCTATAAAGGTTTCATTATCAATATATTGGGAAAATGCTAGATTAAAAAACATTTTTTTTTAACCGCAGAACTTCTTGAAGCCTTTATTGATTGTTCCTATGTGCATAGTGAATACCCAAAATAGGGACATACAATATTTAATTATGGAACCTTTTTTGGGGAAACACACATTATCCTGTAGTATACAATGCTCTGAAATACAGTATGGGAAATGATGGACTAATTCTTTTCAGTCATTCTTTCAGACTCTATTCTCCACCAAAGCTATTTCCAACTTGTAAGGACCTTCAAATATAAATACATTCAGCCATTCAACCAATTTCTGTAGGTCCACTATTTGTAAGCAAGAAATAATCTCTACCCTTAATGAGCCTACTTAACTGAGTTGGAAGTAAGAGAAGCTAGGAGAGGTGGTTATAGACAAGTAAACAGATAATTATATTAAGCCAAGACCTGAAGTATGGGATTGAAGGTGGAGTGGAAAAAAGGGGGGAAGGACATTGCCTACAGAATTAACTGCAGATACAAAAAGCTGAAAAACAAAGTGATCATGAACTGGAGGCATGAACACAGAAAAAGGGCATGACCTTGCAGAGCCTTATAAGGCTAGGCTAACAAGAACACATTTTATTTTAAAAATTTAGGCAAGAGAGTGCTCTGTGATTTAGAAAGATCTCAAAAAATTCAGGAAAATATCAATCCAGAAAGATGAGAGTCACCTAAACTAAGGTAGAAGTGGTACAGAGAGAAGTGTGCAGATCTGAGAAATGCTTAGGAAAACAAATAATAAAACCTAGTGATTAACTGGTTATGCAAAGTAATAAAGAGCCAAAAACTGAGGCACTGGCATAGGGAATGAAGTAGATGTCAAATATACTACATTAGGAAGGAAAAGATCTGGGATCAATTATTAGCTGCAGCACTTGAACAAGGGGACTATGATTCTAGTTCAGTCTTTAAACAATGAATCTCAAAATCCTCATCTTTAATAAAGGGATGTATTTGTTATCTTACAATTTCAAAACTACAAGACATTACATAGTGTATTTTTAAATACTTTTTATTGATTAAGGTATTATATATGTGTCCTTATCCTCCCATTGTCCCCCCTATCCCTCTACTCATGCCCTCACCCCCCTAGGGTCTGTGTCCATTGGTTAGGCTTATATGCATGCGTACAAGTCCTTTGGTTGATCTCTCCCACTTCTCCCCACCCTCCCTGCCTTCCCTCTGAGACTTGACAGTCTGATTGATGCTTCTCTGTCTCTGTTTTTGTTCATCCGTTTATGTTGTTCATTATATTCCACAAATGAGTGAGATCATGTGATATTTATCTTTCTCTGACTTATTTCATTTAGTATAATGCTCTCCAAGTCCATTCATGTTGTTGCAAATGGAAGTTGCTTCCTTTTTACATCATAATATCCCATTGTGTAGATGTAATGCTGTTTTTTAATCCACTCATCTGCTGATGGGCACTTAGGCTGTTTCCAGGTCTTAGCTATTGTACGTAAATTGTGCTGCTATGAACAGAGGGATTCATATATCCTTTGTTTTCTATCCCACTTTACAAATATAGTCATAGTTGATTTAGGTATATAGAAATAGGTTATCTATTACCTGATTTTTTTAAATTTTTTTTTTTAGAGCATTGGTGTTTCTAGTTTCTTGGGATATATTCCTAGAAGTGGGATCACTGGGTTAAATGGGAGATCCATTTTTAGTGTTTTGAGGAAACTCCATACTGTCCTCCACAGTGGCTGCATCAGTCTGCATTCCCACCAGCAGTGCATGAGGGTTACTTTTTCTCTGCATCCTCACCAGCACTTGTCATTTATTGATGATAACCATTCTGACAGGTGTGAGATAGTATCTCAATTGTCATTTTGATTTGCATCTCTTGGATTAGTGACTCTGGGCATATTAATACTGTCTGTATCACATAAAATACCTTTGTTTTTTTCATTGATTTTCAGGGAACCAAGATCAGTTCCAATTTCTCACTTTTTCCCAAACAGTAAGTGTTTTTTGTTTTTTTAATCCTCACCCAAGAATATGTTTTTATTGATTTGAGAGAGAGAGGAAAGGAGAGTGAGACAAACATCAATCAGTTGTCTCCTATATGCACCCCTCAGACCAGGATTGACCTTGCAATCTAGGTATACTCTCTGATCAGGAATCAAGCCTACAACCTTTCAGTGTACAGGATGATGCTCCAGCCAATCAAGCCAAACCCATCCACACTGAGCTGAGTGCTTCTAAACAGTAAGTCTTGATGATTTTGCCTTCCTACATCTCAAACCTATTCCCTATCCCCACCTCCCAACCCCCACCCCCATACCTGCTCACTTCAGAAAAAATACCTTTAAATAATCTCCTATAATCAAACCAATCCTCTAATACTACTGCTTTCATGTCAGTTCCCAGTTCATAAATACCAATTATGGTCCCTAAATACCTATATAAACTCATTCAAATTTCTTTCCAAGGCCTCAGAGTCCCAATTTTCAGTGTCAACCTAATTCCAATCCTCTCTCACTTCTACACTGAAATCCTTGATTTAAATAATTTAGGCCTGTTCACTATCCACTAAACATACATACTTAGTTCACTACCTATGGGGGCTTTATTCAAGTCCTTCAGTTTACTGTTTTCTGCCCACTTGAAAAATTCTCATCTTTCAATTTCTAGTAAATAAAAATCCCCAAAGTCTCTGAGATAGCTTTCCAATGATTCCAGCAACAGCTTTGTCCTTTGAATGGCCATAATATCAATGCTGTCTACATCACTCATTTAGGAGTTGGCTAAAAACTTTGCATTATTTATGTATGCATGTCCTCTATATCATATAGATATATGAAATCACACAAAAATTTGATACAATTGCAAATATTTTTAAAAATCCAGAGTAAAAAAATATGCAAAATGTTTTCTATCCAATTTTACAAATGTAGTCTTAGTTGATTTAGGCATATAGAAATAGGTTATATATTACTTGATTTTATTTCTTTTAGAGCACTGGCTCTTGAAAAGCACTGTCAATAGAAAATAAGATGAGCCACGTGATTTCAAATTTTCTAATAGTTCACTCATAAAAGTAAAAGACACATAAAAATTAATTTCAATAGCCGAAGCCACTTTGGCTCAGTGGTGGAGCGTCAGCCTGTGGACTGAAGGTTCTGGGTTCGATTCTGGTCAAGGCATATACCTGAGTTGCGGGCACATCCCCAGTGGAGGGTGTGCAAGAGGCAGCTGGTCGATGTTTCTCTCTCATCGACGTTTCTAGCTCTCTATATCTCTCACTTCCTCTCTGTAAAAAATCAGTAAAATATATTTTTTTTAAAAATTAATTTCAATACTATATTTTAACACTGTATTGCAATGTCATTTTAACATATAATCCATACTAAAAATTTCAGATATTTTTTACTTGAATTTTAAAATTTACTTTTTAAAAAAAAACATATTTTATTGATTTTTTTTACAGAGAGGAAGGAGAGGGAGAGTTAGAAACGTTGATGAGAGAGAAACATCGACCAGCTGCTTCTTGCACACCCCCTACCGGGGATGTGCCCGCAACCAATATACATGCCCTTGACCGAATCGAACCTGGGACCCCTCAGTCCGCAAACCGATGCTCTACCACTGAGCCAAACCAGTTTTGGCGAATTTTAAAATTTACTTTTCAAAAATGAGGTATAGTTGACATAACATTATATTAGTTTCAGGTATACAACATAATTTAATATATGTATACATAATGAAATGATAACCACAATAAATCTTATAGTTACAAAAAATGTTTTTCATGTTATCAGACTTTTTAAATTTGATAGCAACTTTCAAATACTCAATACAATATTAACTGTAGTTACCATGCTGTACATTTAATCACCATGATTTATTTATTTTACAACTCGAGTTTATACCTTTGGACTTCTTTCACCT